CAATCCTGATACCACGTTTTTCTTCATATAGTCCAGCTTCTCAGATTATTTGCTCAGCATATAGATTGAATAAGTGTGGAGAAAGAATACAACCCTGATGTTGCTTAATCATTCTTAATCATGTATTGTCGTTTGCCTCTGCTTCATGGAAATTTTCAGGTGGCCTGAAATGTTTTGATCCTCATTCTCTGCTTCTTTTTGATACCTTTTAATGGACTTTTCAGTTTTATATTTTTCATTCATATTTTGGCCAGCCACTGTGGGATTGGTGGGAGGGTTGTAACAGGAAGGAAGTTTGTATAACTTTTGAGTTTCTCATTTCAAAAGCTTTCTTTCTGTTAGTGAAGGAAAAGCCAAATCATCAATGCCTTTTTTATTTCAGGTTTCTTCTAATTTTCTTGATTCTGTCTTGTTTCAGTAAGGCTTTTATCTTCAATCCCTTCTCTTTAGCTCTGGTAACTGTCTTCTAAACTGTCTGCTTCTTCCCAGTCTCCCCTGCAGTGTGTTCTCAAGACAACACTTTTGGTCCCGTGTCTTCTCCAAGCTTCCTCTTGACATTGTATCAGTAGGCACACCTTCAGCAGTTTGTATTAAAAAAATAAAATAAACCCACTGCCATTGAGTCAATTCTGACTCATAGCAACCCTACAGAACAGAGTAGAACTGTCGAATAGGGTTTCCAAGGCTGTTAATCTTTATGAAATCTGACTGCTTTGTCTTTCTTCCATGGAGTGGCTAGTCCCAGCATTTTGGTTAGCAGCCTAATGTTTTAACCACTGCACCACCAGAGCTCCTCAGTTCCTATTTAAGATGGGATCTTTTCTTTCTGAGGAGAAACCCTGGCTGAAATTGCCTGAGTTCTAGCCCCCTGTAGAGTTTTCTGACCTGGCACATCTGTGAGTCTTCTGCCATATTTTCCACACTGGAATAGGCTCCAGCACTTGCTATGCTGATCTTCTAGGTTTACTCCCTTCTTCCTCGTTCATAAATTCATGTTTATAACCCTTTATCCCCTGCTTACTCCATCAGTGTAGCTCTAAGAATTTTCATTCTCCTTGCTGCTTTTTTTCCTTTTTTTTTTTTTTTGCTTTTAGAAAGATGTGTAAGAAGATTCTGGAATACTTATCATCATCTTTAGGGAACTCAGAAACACAAACCTTGCTGAGTTCCCCTCCCCCCCACAGCAAGGATAAAGCTGGTAATGCACCAGCTTTCATTGCTAGCATGGGAGACTATTTTATACCATTGGAACAAAAATCTAATAAGGATAATTCTGAGAAAGTTTGTTTTGTTACACAGTTTGTTATAGTCAGTGAAGAAAACTCCCAAACAACACCAACAAAAAAATCTCAAGCCATCTCATGGGGGCATCCCTTACCTTTTTTTTTTTTTTTTCTTTTTTTTGAAATTCTGTTCTCTGATACCTAGGGCTTTTTCTTTTAATACTCTGGATAAAACAGTCATGCAAAACTCTCTTACTGCTTAACTATTTTATGTTTGTTAATCCATTTAGTAATTTGTGCCAAAATGCAGTTAAGTGAAACAATAAATGTATCTAAAGTCAAAGAGAAAAATCAATTAAAAAATTTGACTTATCCAGGAAGTTAGTTGTATATATGCCATATGTTGAGTTTCCTGGGAAATGATATCTGAGATGGAAATTAGTATACAAGATGCTTATTGGGGAGTGCTCTTAGCATCCTGTGTGTGGAAGAGAGGGAAGGAAGTGGGATTAGGTGCAGGAGAAGTTGAGCTGCAGTCCAATCCCAGTGAAGTCTCAGGTGATGACACCTCATAGGGAGCTCTGGGCCTGGGGAGCTCTTTAGCCAAATATTGAACAGTAATTATCTCTGGATGGCAGGATGATGTTTCTTTTTAACTTTGTTTTAATACATCATCTATTTAAATGTAAAAAAATATAAATACCACTTTTGTACTAGAAAAATAGAAAGCCTTTTGGGGAAAAATATCAATGCAAATAATTGTGTGAAAGAGGATATTTTTTCAGTCTTTTGGTATTTTCAGTTCTGAAGACTAACTTCTAATTTTAAAAGCCCCCATGTTGGCATCTCCTAGTCTCTTAGTGCTGCTGTTAACAGAAATTTCACAAGTGAGTGATGTTCACAAATAGAAATTTTTTTTCTAACAGTTCAGGAGGCTAGAAGTCCAAATTCAGGATCCCAGCTCTAGAGGCAGATCTCTGTCTACTCTGGAGGAATACCCTTGTCACTTTCAGCTTTTCTTCTTCAGTTCCTTGGTGTTCTCTTTGTGGCATCAGTCTTTCCCCATCTGTGCTTCCTTGTCTCTGTGCCTAACTTCTGCTATATCTCCAAAATAATTGGCTTAAGACACACCCTACACTGATAGGGTCTCATTGTCATAACAAAGCCCTATTCCTACATGAAATTACATCCACAGGTTGAGATTTGCAGCACATATTTTTGTCCTTAATGGGTATTATCTTTGATTTTTTCAGCTTGGGCAATGGTAGATGGTGGTTCAAATGTGAAAGCCCGCACTTCCTATAATGAGAAGACCCCAAGGATCGTTGTGTCCCGATCTCATTCAGGAATGGTCAAACAAGTTGCTCTTCAGACCTTTGGAAATCAGACTACAATTATTCCTGCTGGGGGCGCTGGTAAGTTCCCACTTCCTTCTGCTCCCACTGAGTTTTAGCAGTGTGGTCAAGACTTATGTCAGAAGACTTGGTTGTGCAAAGCTTGGGAAGAAAATGAGAATAGAGTTTTGTAGGAAGGAAGGCCTGGTTCCTGCTGAGTAATCTCAGGGTGGGTTTTCACTCACACCGGCCTTCTTGTAACAAAGAAACAGTCTCACACCAGAGATGCCCTGTCCCTGGAATAACACAGAAGCATTTTCCCATCAGTGTTATGCCATCAATAAATGCTTCAAATGTTACGTGATTACAACATAAATTGGCCTGTTAGTTTAACTGTGGAGCTATTGGGACAAGAGAAAAGATCAAGTTCTTCAGGATGTTTTCATATGGCAGAAAGACCCAGGAATCTCCTAGGAACATTAGGAGGGCTAATATCTGGGTTTCTTTTAACATGTTGAACTTCTCAGTTTATCCCAAGGTAGTAGTATTCTGGGAAGAGCAAGTGTCTGGTGCCTGCCTAGCTTGTTGTCAGTTCTGTTCCATTGTATACCTACCAGCAGCCTTTCACTGAAAACTTTTTTCTCAATACTTCAGCCTTGGTGAACCACATACAGTCTCCATTGCATATTATTCTTTGAGTTTTGTTTGTTTGTTTACAACTCTTTTAAAATACAAAAAGCCATTCTTAACTTGAGGGCTGCAGGGAAGGAGGCTGGGGCTAGAGTTGACTCATGGCTATCATTCGCCCACCTCTGTTAGGAATGCTCTTCAACACAGATTAACCTAAATAAATAGCAGAGTATGATCAGAAAGGGAGCTCTGGTAGCTTAGTGCCGAAGGCACTTGACTGCTACCAGAAGGCTGGTGGGCAATCTTCTTCCCTAGTGATACTGCCTCGAAAACCCAAGGAACACATAACAACAACACCATGATCAGAAAACATTTGTATATGAAAACCTTTTCAACATAGTAATAAAGGGAAAAGTAAAGCTTATTAACTTTTAAACCTAATAGTTTTATATGCTGGTTGCCTTCCTTAATATGACTTCATTATTTTTTTGTAGGTTCTGTTAGGTTGGTTAGTAAAGGTAATGTCCAAAATGCCAAGAATAATGGGTTAGACTGGATTCTAGACTGTTGTTCTTTTTGCATTTGTTTTATTATTTTATTGTTTAAAGCCTTCCTTGTTAATAAAAGCATTTAAGATAGTACTGTTACTTTGTATTATCTCCATTCAGATCATCCTGCATAGACAATCAAGTAAAAATTATGAGTGTTAACTTTAGTAAAGTAAGACATTCCTTAGAAAATGGCCCATACTATGTTTTGTTTCATAGGAGGCATCCAAAACTAAAAAAAAAAAAAGATAAAAAATTATAGGCACATATTTGATTGTACTTGAGACTAGCTGAATAAGATTACTTTGCAATATATTTTTGCTCATTTAAATTTACTTTTAAAAAAACCTTTGTATTTTTTAATAATTTAAGATGTAGAGAGGACTTACAAATATAATACATAGACCTTTTTTTCACCCCTGCTGTTACTTTTAACAATGTGCTTACTCAGAAAAGTAAACTACTTTCTGAAAATCTTCTAAATAGTAACCAAATCTCTGTGTTTGTTATTTTAGGTTATAAAGTTTTGGCACTCTTGGATGTGCCAGATAAGAGTCAAGAGAAAGCCGATTTGTATATCCATGTGACTTATATCAAGAAGTGGGATATATGTGCTGGTAATGCTATCTTAAAAGCCCTTGGGGGACACATGACTACTCTGAATGGTGAAGAAATCAGTTACACTGGTTCTGATGGCATTGAAGGGGGACTGCTTGCCAGCATCAGAATGAATCACCAGGCTCTGGTCAGAAAACTCCCAGATCTGGAGAAGATAGGACACAATTAGCGTAACTGCAGGACACAACTCTTACAGAGCCTGAACTGCTGGAGGCTTCAAGGGGTGTTTCTGTGTGGAGACTATGCATGGTTAAGGCCATCCAAACTTTTGAGTATTTAAGAAGCATCAGAGACTTATTTTCCCTGTAATATGATGCAAGATCAGGAAAAATGAGTTGCTTCGTGTCTCAAGTATTGTCTTTATTTTTGAGACTATTTTCGTACAGTTGTCATATATAAGACGCATATATATATTTGTGAATTAAAATCTATAGCTGAGTCTACATTGTTATAAGTCACCATTTTCACACATGAATCTTCACTATTTGTTAGTATTTTCATACAGAATTTGGCTGAAGAGAGGATTGATTTTGTATAGATGCTTAGTATAACCTTTACAATTAAATCTCATTGAAAATAAAGTAATTGGGAATTTTTACTCCTAATTTGGATGGAAAGCACAAGAAGCCACATATCCATTAATATGCAACAAATGCTCTATTACTGACTATTTCTTATGGATTAAAATAAAAAAAGCTTAAATTGACTTTTTTCTTTAAAATTTTAATAAAAAATTTACCAGCTAATAGAAAGTATAGACATATGATGGGTTTGCATTGTAATTGTAATTTCTGTGTGTATGTTCTCTTTTTTTCCTTTATAAAGCAAAGTGTGTTTGGACCCATGGGTTTAACGTTTCTGCCATCTTGGTGTTGATTATCATTTTTCCTATAAAAGATTCATGGTGCCATCCATCTTTCCTTCTTGACTAATACTCTTTATCCTGTAAGATTTGTTTTAAGTTTTCAGGGCTAGCACTAGGATTTTGGTACATTTTCTCATTAGGGATAAGATATACTTTAAGGCAATACAAGAATAAGAATGGTTCTGTTAATTAGAAGTTGTTGTTATATATGTCATCGAGTCAACCTCGACTCATAGTGACCCCTCCTTGGGTTGCCGAGGCAGTATCACTACGGAAGTAGATTGCCCAATCTTCCTTCCGAGGAGTGGCTGGTGGGTTTGAACCTCCAGCCTTCTGGTTAGCAGTCAAGTGCCTTAGGCACTAAGCTATCAGAGCTCCTAATTAAAAGTTATATGACCTTATATGAATGAATTGAAGTAGCTTTTGTTGTTTTCAAAAACCAAAATTTAACTTTGTTTTACTACTTAATGAAAAATGTTGCCATGTTTTTATGTAGAAGGCTCTCTTAGTTTTCAAGAATGAGTTGTGGTTGCTTTTGCCATTAATAAATGGACCTAACCATATCTTTTGAGAAAATAGTTCCCCTTTGGATTGAAACATTCAAGGTTAAAGTTGCTCTTTAATGGTCTTTTTTTTTTTTTTTCTTCTTCTTTTTCATGCAGTCTATACAATCTGTTTGGAAGAAATATTGTAACATACTCAGTTGTGTCATAGTAACTGGAGCCTGGCTTTATGAGCTGTCTTTCCTTAGAAGTCTAGTGTCTCTCACTGTGGTAGATGGAAACTTCATGTCAACAACTGATAATTTTTCATGTGGTTTTAATGTCCTTATATTGTATAACACACTGATTAAGGAGAGGGATTTTTCATTGTTTCTTTTCTTTTTTTTAATTTAACCATAAAACAACTTTCTGTTTATTTTCTTATCTTAGAGGTAGAATTGACCAAAGAATGGCTATTCTAGACTGGTAAAATGTGGATACAGTTTTAGATTTGGACATTAACTCTCTAAAGGTTTAATGCCTTGTTAATGAACTGAATCTAGTACAATGCAGATTTTTCCATCTATTCTCTAGCAACTGGTCACAGATCTGATAAGGTGGTGGCCATCATCAGGTGGATTTGTTCAGTGAAAACTTGTTTTTGGTGGTTGGACACTTGGCATTTAAACAAGAATTCTGAAAAGTATGTCACAGGCCCCAACTCTAATTGAGATGAAGAAAACTTTTTTTTCTCAGGAGAGATGGCAAAGGCTTACTGAGGCTATAACGAGAGACCACCGGGATAAGCTTTTTTGTCATATATCAAGCTTCTAGAAGTAAATGGGATTAGGAGAGTAGGAATTAGAATTGAATTGGAATTTATTTTCCTTCAATATTTTATGGAAACTTACTAATTTAATGAAAACAAAACTAGTTCATATTAGCAAGCATGATTGCTTTGGTTTTGTTTCTAATTTAATTCATCTACATGTAGATAATGTCTTTGAAGGGTTTATATTGTATGCAAAAATTAAGGTAGTGGTTGACAGATGCATTGTTTTTATAGTTTGTTAGGTGTAGCCTAGTTACTGAAGATTTTTAAGTGCTTCTACAGAATGTGATTTTTAAAATTTTTTGTTTTAGAAGTCAGTATACATTACAGAACTACTGTGAGTACAAAAAAAGTATTTATATTTATTTATTTGAGATATTATTGTGCCAGAACATACCCATAACACCTTCATGAATAAGCAGAATTATTCACTGAGACATTTAGTATCTCCCAAGATTACATAAATTATTTCTAAAACAGCAAAGTAACTAAGTAGGCAGTTTACTTTTAATGACCACCCCCCATCCTACTCCTGATTCTCTTTCCTTCATTTTGGCCCTTATTCATATAATAATTTTCCATTAGAAGTGAGTTTTACACATTATATTTAGTGGAAGCTATGACATAAGTAATCTCAGTATCCATCAGCTGGTCCCTTCCTCTGCACCATCTCTACCCTATTATCTGTCTTCCTTTTACCTTCCATTGTTCCCTTTTATCTTATCTTCCTCTTTCTTAACCAGTATGCTGCCTCAAACATTCACCTTCAAGTTTTCTTATGTTGTACCCATTTCTCTCAAGATTGACTGTACTCTTAGAATAGAACTGAGGCCCTAATAAACTTGTCACTGGAGGAGATCAATCCTGGCAGAAATGTAATTGACCATTATTTTTCAAAGACTCAGAAAGGAAGGGAAAATAGCCTTCAAAGCCACAAAGCTTTAAATTGTCAGGTCTAGTTTAGTACTGTCTTTACAAAACATTCTGACTCATCCTTCAAGAATATACATATAAAAAATACAAAAGAGTTGGGTACATAAGCTGGTTTAAGAAAACTGTTTTCCTGTAAGATTTGATGCTTGTGTCTGATTCATTTGACCTTACAAAGGTGTACAAGATGGGTCATATTTGTTATGTGTTCCAGTTGTTCTCTTTCCCAATTTTAGTGTTTTTTTTTTTTTTTCTTTTTCAGTCAATAATATTAGAATGATTTGTTCATAGTTGTATAATGAAATAACAGAAGAATTTTTGTGTATTTTAAGTAATAGTTGTACAAATCTTCCTGTTTGCTGGATGTACCCTTTGAATATTTTGCAAATTATGTCAGAGGAGGTGCAGGAGGGCCAGTGACTAGAAAAGAGCGGAAAGAATCTAGAAATCCCTAAGTGGAAGGAGAGCAGAGGATAAATGCAGAGTAAACTATGGTCAGTAACTCTGCCCTCATTCCTAATGTTTAATTCTAAAAGGGGATTGCACTCAGGCGTTAAAGATGACAACTGTCTCTGATAGCCCGGACTGAGGTATGCAAGCTGGAGTGCCACGCTTGTCCAGAAGGGAAGAAATACCCAGCTTTCCTCTCACCAGGAAGGCCTGATGGAGATAAACAAGTTAAGAATTATTTGGGTTATTCCAGCTATATATAACTACCTATCTTGGCTATGTGTTGGATTGATCTTGGATAGTAACAATGATATTTGCATTTTGATCTTGGTTGAATTTGAAGATGTGTTTAATTATTTCCAGTGTATTTGTACAAAGTCTGTCTTGTAACTGTTGTATAAAATAAACCTAATCACCTATGGTTTCACATTTATCCTAAAAAAGTTGTGCCTTAACAATAGGGCATTGTATGTTAATAAGGGAAAGCAACCTTTTTTTAATAGATGGGGAAAATAAAAACTTTTTGCCATTAAAATTAAGTTTTTTTAATGTTTTCTAATATTAGTTTTGGGGAACTTTTCAAATAACATTGATGTAAAATTATTTTGCATAATCTAGCATTTACAACTAAAGTACATTTTTATAAGGAACTGGCATCTTGATGTATATAGATCTGAAATGGTACTTTATCTTTTGATTTTTAAATTAAGACCAGGATAGATGAACTTTTTTTTTTTTTTTTTTCCAGTTTTTAATAATCATTCCTATGTGCTATTATGGGAGCTCTGGTGGTGTAGTGCCTAAGGCATGACTGCTCACCAGAAGGCTGGAGATTCAAACCCACCAACCACACATTGGAAAGAAACTTGGGCAATCTACTTCTGTAGTGATAGTGCCTTGGAAACCCAAAGAGGGGTTGCTATGAGTCAGATATGACCCAGCGGCATTGAGTTTTATGTTATAACTCTTCTCCCAGTCCTCTAAAATCATTTCGGTTAAAAAAAAAAAAAAAGTATGTATCCATGGTATCATATGAGTCATTCATTAATATTAAATGATACTGTATTTTGGGTAAATAATAGAGCGGAACAGTTCTTAGTGGGGAGAGAGTTCTAATTCTGACTAGCCATTGAGTGAGAGGACAAGAACAATTGAAATTTCTGTTTCAGTCGGAGATTTTGGTTTTAGAGGTTCTGGTTTATGTCAGTTAAGTTTTATTTCATCAAAGCCTGGCAAGCGTATGCCAGTTTGCCTTTGAGAAAGACTTACAGAGAGCTTTTTAAGTTGGGTGGTATCTTGGTTATTTAAGTTTGCTATAACAAGAATATCACAAGTGGGTGGCTTTAGCAAACTTATTTTCTCACAGTTTAGGAGAGTCCAAATTCAGGGCATTAGCACTAGGGGATCTGGTGGTGCAATGCCTAAGGCATTTGCCTGCTAACCAGAAGGTTGGTGGTTCAAACCCACCAGCTGCTCCATGGAAGGAAGATGAAGCATCTGTTTCTGTAAAAAATTACCACCTGGGAAACCCAACAGGGGTTGCTCTGGGTTGGAATCGACTCAGTGGCAGTGGGTGGGTTAACATTATGGGAAGGTTGTCAGCTCTCAGGGGAAAGTCCTTGTCTCTTTTGTCCCTTGGAGATTGCCATGAGTCTTGGCATCAGTCATCCTTGGGTGTAGGAGGTTCTTAGCAGAGGGACCATGGATCCAAGGGATGTGCTCTGCTTCTGCCTCTTCTTTATCGGTGGTACTGAGGTTCCTCCTTCTCTGCTGGCTTCTCTCTCCCTTTATTTCTTGTAAGATAAAAGGTGAATGTAGGCTGGGGAACTCCTCTTACACTGGATGAGGGCTGTGACCTCAGTATGGGTGTTGTATCCTACCCTA